ATCTAGGGAGAATGCTAGCCAGAACATAGGAGTGATACAATAATCTCATCTCGAGTAAGATATTAGTGTCGAGGTGTGAAGGGTGCTTCTGCCATTGTGTGGGTGACGCGTCGATGGAGTGCGCGACAGAGTTACATGTGGATCCGTACGAAAACAGCGTGTTTTAATGTATCTTTGTCAGCAAGGGGCTTTTATTTACATAGGATCCGTACCCTTGTTGTGCGCGGGCCACCGACACTACTTTCGCCGGATACCACAGTACTTCAACCATCTTCAAGGAGGTAATTGGATCATTCTAACCGAAGACCACTCAAGGAGCACTTTGCTTACTTCAAAACTCACTGCAAGCAACGTTAGCGACAGCTTGGGATGATATCTTTCATTTGATTGGGTATCTTAGACTCGTAAGATGGCAACAATCGCTCATCTAATAATGGTATCCTCTTGTCTCGTCTCATCACAGTGATGGACCATCCTCGGCCTCCTACATTCGTCCCTGCGTTCGCTTAACAAGCCTACAACGAAGCGAGAAAAAAGCTTGGATTGACACTAACATCGCCATCCTCTCCCCTTTACAACACCGAAGCGCCTTGCGTCTCAATCGGCAAGAAGAACATACTGACAAAAGCCGCCAAGATCAAGCCTCCCGAAGCGTAGATAGGTGCCTTCGGGTTCGAGCTGCCAGCATTGACCGCGACAATGGGTGCACAGAGACCGGCAAGACGGTTCAGGAAGCTGCTAATTCCCGTGCCAGTGCCGCGATTGGGCGCTGGGATGACCTCTGGCGTGTATGCGTATAGAACACCGTACATGATTTGCTGGAAGCAAGCCTCAAGACAGGAGAACGCGAGCTGGAAGTCGGGGTCGCCGGAGAGGGTAAATAGGAAGACGAAGACACCTGTGAGGGCCGTTCCGACGATCATGGTCTTCTTGCGGCCACAGAAGGGGACGTTGACGAGGAAGTAGGCGAGGATGGAGCCGGGGCAGCCGCACACTGAGGTGATCGCGTAATTGCGATACGTGATGGATGTTGAGGTAGGTTGTGCGCTGCCAGAGTTGGCGAGATACTGTGGTAAAAATGCATTGAACAAAGGATAGCCCATTCCAATGGTGGTCCATTGGAACCAAAGTAGGACCATGGTGAAGCCCATCTTCTTATTCTTAAATAGAGGTGCCATGCGTTCACCTGAGAACTTGCCCAGATTGTTTTTGACGATGTCAATCGTGCCCATTTTCGTACTGACGATCTCTTCTGACTTGCCTCCAACCTGGTCAAGAATGTCCTCGGAAAGCCACGTCTTGGTCTTGTTGTGGTAGGCAATACCGTGGACAACAGCGACCGCCTCGCGTTGTCGGCCTTGCGAGAGGAGGTATTTGGGCGATTCGAAAAGGTGGAACAGAAGAAAGCGGCAGAGGAACATGGTAAAGGTGATGGCGCCCAAAGTCAAGACGAGATAGCGCCAGCCCCAATTCTGGTCCTTGGTGCATGTAGCGGCGTCGGCTGGGCAAGAAAAGTTGGGGATCAAAGCCCAGGCCAAGAGAGACGCGATCAATTGGCCGAAAGACCAGAAAGCGGAAAGCAAGGTAAGAAGGTTGTTGTTTGCCCCCGGCAGGAACTCGAGGAACAAAGCTCCGTCAACAGGTAGGTTTCCGCCGACACCAAGACCAAGACAGGCATACAGGGCGCAGACGCCGATCCAGTTAGGACCACCGCCAGCTGCAAGACCGAAGATTCCTGCGAACATGAGAGTAAAGTTGAAGGCCAAGCGACGACCGACTACGTCCGATGCTACTCCCCAGAAGCTTGCTCCGATGCAGAGACCCAAAAAGAGCGATAGTGTCGTGTATCGGACTTCAGTTTCGCTGACACCAAATTCGGAGGAAAGGGACGGAAGTGTCAGAGCTACACCCTGAAGCCAAAGACTATGAGGTATCAGCAAAAGGGACAACGGGTTACACACCACTGGCAGGCTCACTTGTCTGCCATCCAGCCGAAGCCGCACAGGACGAACAGTTGCCACTGATACCGTCCCATTCCCATGTCTGCGATGGCACGGTTGATGATTTTAGACTTTCCTACAAGTCAAATCAGCATCGATTGCACAGACATCGCGGGTTTCAGGAGACTCACTATCGTAGATTGACTGGGTATCGTTCGCACTGATATCATGGTCGATTTCGTCTCGCAATTCGGCTAAAGTGAGTCCTCTGGTGCTACCGGCACGGATACTAGCGCCGCCATGGCCGCTATGGGCATCACTATCTTTACCTGAGCTGCTATCATTTTTGTCTTTCTCGCTGGGTGCTTGAGTGAGTGACTGGCGACGTGCAGATACTATCGAGTTCCGGTGTTCAGCGTCCGCGAGGTTGACATGCGTATCTGGAAAATCAGAAATGTCGTGATTTTTGAACGGGTTTATGATGAACATATTGGCGCAAGGGATGATGTCGCTTGGAGTTAAATAGTCATATACCGGAGGTAGTCCAACGGGAGATCGGAAATTATGTCGCTATGGGGTTGTCGCTCGGTCTCGTCAAGCGCTGAAGGCAATTGTCGCTTGGGATGCCGCTTGGGAAGTCGCTCGGGTGATCGAACCTTCACTAGGTCACTGCAAAGAGATGCTTGTGAAGACGTGAGGCTTGGTGAAGCTTGGTATAGTTTGTATTGGGGCGAGGCTATAGCACGCACGTTGGTGCGATGCGTGAGGAAGAGAATCGGAGGAATGAACAACTGGCGAGCAATTGTCCCCCCCTGAGCTAATGATATAGTGTTGAGCAGCATGGCCATACGGCGGGTAACAATTATGGACTCGCATGGGGTGGCCATGGCGGCGGAGAATGTCGCCAAGAGACTCTCATGCCATGACGTATGGCCACCCGCACCAGTCGAAAAAGCTCTTCGGCGCAAGTGCGCGGGAGATTAAAATACGCTATAACCGGCGCAAGCACGGCGCGATCCCGCGTCTCACTGCAGTTCCTATTCGTCGGGAGAAACTGTTACCCTATCGCGGGTGACTGCTTAGGAACGCCTTGATGGGAATAAGCTCTTTACGCTGCAGCTTACCGTCTGAATTTGCCGTCTTCCGAAGAGCGATCAAGTGAACGGGCAGTGACGCACAACTCACAGCTACCTACAGCTGCGATTCAGTCAAGCCGCGACGATCTCATCGAAGGTCGTGTGACCTCACAGCTGTATAGGACCGCCGTGCCAGATAGCCTTGTTTTCGAGCCCGAGTGGCAATGGTCGAGATGGTTGACTTCGCCGCCTCCTGCTAAATTTACCAGGACCGCAAAATTTTGCGAGTGCAATTTCTCACCAGTGTCGTTCAATCTATTACGTATCCAGCGCCAATAAGAGGACGGCTGCGAGAGGAATACCAGACTCCACTCTGCCAAACCCGGTATGAACCGTCTGCCATCACCTCAACCAGGACTTTGGGACTGGATAGGAGCGGGTACATCAACGTGTGAAATGTACCTGTATATGGATATGGAAACCATGGATCGTCAGGAGAAAGACATCCTTTCCCAGATTACCCCGAACTTCTGTTCAGCTTTGCGGCACACCTTTAGAAGCCATTCCGATCGTCGCCGAGTCACGATTCCACCGATGCCGTAACGAGAGCGATTCAAATCGGCTGCAATTAGTATTCTCGGATACCCGCGGTTTTGTATCAATCGACTCTGAATGGAAGAATCGCTGCTCAATGGGTCTTGGACTCCACTCTAAGGTTTGTCTGTGGAGCCTTTCCCTTGCAATGTCACGCGACCTTCGACTTCGCCTTCGTTTCGGAAACCGATTGGATAGTCTGGTTATATGGACTGCCGTCCTCGGGTTCGAAGTAGACTTCAAACCTTTACAATCCACGGTTGCCCGAAAGCACATACGACCCTCGTTCATCCTCCCTTGGTTCGCGAGAATGCGTAGATGAACTGAACTGCGCATGCGTGGAAACCGAAATTCGTTCTGCAATGGCTCTCCCGAGGCTGGGTCCCCATAATAATCTCCGTGTGGCTATTCACCTAGCCATGAATGCTAGCCTACGGCCGGGCAAGAAGTCTAGGGGCTGTATCACTTTCACGGATCACCGTGTTGAACATGGTTTAGATCCTTCTTCATCTATTTAGATTTGTTATTCAAATAGAGGCATGCTTCGTACTTCACAAGATAATAGTCTAGACAGCTTTCATAGGCCGCCTTACCCAGACTACCCACCTAAGGCAAGAGAATTTCTAATCCACTACTATTGTACTATTATATTCACCTTTTCCCTCCCGCAGCCGAAAGAAGTTTTGTCGCTAGTTTCTTAAATATTCGGCCTAATCTTGTCCTCGTTTCTGTTATTACCCAGAGGGAAAAATTCGGTGTGCTCCCACGAGCTCCTTGCTCGCCTACAGGCCACTACCTCCACAGCGTTGTATATACGAACCTGCATCAAGATATGATTTCTCGGCTGCTGTCTGAGGACTTTCATGTGAGAAGGCTGCAAGATTAATCACCTAATTCAGAAGTAAGAACCACGCCTGGATTTCCTTCCAGGAGTGTTGGCGCAGTGATGGAACTTAGTTGTGTCTACGCAATGAACATGGACTGAATTGTCAATCACCCAATAAGCTTCTGAGACAGCCAAGTCCTACCCGTACAACACGAGGAAATCTAGCATCCCTCCTCTCGGCACACTTCCTCGTAGGATCCCCTAATATAGTCGCTCACGACACTATTATTCTCTAGAAATCGAAAACTGTTTTCTCCGCCATTTGCTGAGGTTCACATAGTAAGTTCGCTAAGGCGTCTTGGTGCTGACATCCACGAGATGACTCATACGCTACATTCCACTTTCCCCGCATCACACCACACCACCCTTCGTGCCTGCCTCACAGTCCACCCTCCAATTCTATGCTACTGGTCGCCCAGCGCCCATCTCTCTCAAACTATGTATCATATATTTAAAAAATTGGAAAATTACTAATCATCACCTCTCCTAGAGTGACGCTGATTCGGCTTCATGGTCTAGTGGTATGATTCCTGCTTTGGGCCTAGCGTACTCAATCTGCAGGAGGCCCCGCGTTCGAATCGCGGTGGAGCCCTTTTTTTTGGTTTTTTTTAAATGTAAAGTGAGCATGTGGGCGAGTATTATAGCACGCTTTAAAAGTGTTCCCGTTGCTTGTGGTCGCATTTTTTTTCTTCGAATGCAATCTTCAGTAATCACGGCTTTGATGATGGTGCATGAACGTGCCTTTGATTCGCTCGCTCCGTATTAGAAAAGCGCCGGCCTATACATGTAACTGATATCTGGAGATGCGGATCCCATCAGAGTGGACAAAGGCAAGATTCAGATGCGGCAGCTAAGTCCGATAGTAATATGGTAGGTTGTAGAGATGCGGCGTGGGGGTCAAGTTCGCTTCTGGTGGAACCCCCTGTTGTTTCCTGTTTTAGCTAGCCGACGGGGTCGTACTTTCTGAATTGGAGGCTCCAAAGCTGACAGCTGGAGGATTTATTTTACCACCACCTCACCAAACATGCCACGATGAGCGAGTCGCAGAAGCTCCTGCATGAGCACATAGACGACTCCGACTCGGAACCGGGTCTCGATATAGTTCCGTTTCCTGCGCGCCGCTCGTCGCCCTCCGTAATTCAATCACGCTCGTGCTCCCGCCACTCATCCGCATCACCCGCTCCGAGCTCTGACGGCCATTTTGGACCGCCCAAGCGGCAGTCATCGTTCGCGCAGCCTCGGCCAGATGGCACGCCACGGACGCCGAATCGCGTGCGCTTCGAGGAGCCACGGCGGAGCATGAACGGAGACGCACAGGACGCGGAATGGGTGGAATTGGAAGGGGAGGATTACCTGGAAGAAGGGCAAGAAGGACGGGAAAGAGTGCAGCGGCTGCCTTTGCTGACGGGCATCGAGGCGCCGAGCGTGACGGTGGCAGAGCAAGCATTCGACCCAGAAGACCACCTGGAGAACGCGAGACCGAGGAGCAGCATGCGGAGCTCGTTCATGAACATGGCGAACAGCATAATGTGAGGAAACCCATATTGAAGAAGGCTCTGCAAAGCTGCTGCGGTGGAAAAGAGCTGACTAGGCGCAGAGGTGCAGGCATCATCGGCCAGCCTTACGCCTTCCGCAATGCTGGCCTCGTCACAGGCACCCTCCTCCTAATCGGCCTCACGATAACCGTCGACTGGACTATCCAGCTCATAGTCATCAATTCGAAGCTCAGCGGCACCGATTCCTTCCAGGCGACCGTCGAACACTGCTTTGGCAAGTCGGGGCTGGTCGCCATTTCGCTGGCGCAATGGATATTGTACGTGCAAGGAACAACATTGTAGTTGGGGCCTACGCTGATTTTGCAGTGCATTCGGAGGCATGGTCGCCTTCTGTGTCATCGTAGGGGACACGATACCGAGAGTGCTGGACGCTATGTTCCCTTCCTTGGCTGACATGCCTTTTTTATGGCTCCTTACCAATCGCCGTGCCATCATCATTCTCCTGATTCTCGGCATCTCGTATCCGCTTTCTTTGTACCGAGACATCTCAAAGGCAACTACATTTCAGTCCAATGCACCGTTTAGGCACTAACACCGCGCAGCTTGCCAAAGCCAGTGGGCTTGCCCTGGTCAGCATGACCATAATCATCTTCACTGTAATCACACAATCATTCCGCGTGCCCACTGAGTCCCGTGGCCAACTCAAGGGCAACCTTGTAATCCGTTCCGGCATATTCGAGGCCGTAGGCGTAATATCTTTCGCCTTTGTGTGCCACCACAACTCCCTTCTCATCTATGGCTCGTTGCGAACACCCACCATCGATCGATTCGCCCGCGTCACCCACTACAGCACTGGCATATCTTTGGTAGCATGCCTCGTCATGGCCTACTTCGGCTACCTTACTTTCGGCGACAAGACGCTGGGCAATGTACTGAACAACTTCCCCAACGACAACCTTCTCGTAAACATTGCACGTTTATGCTTCGGACTAAACATGCTCACCACACTCCCTCTCGAAGCTTTCGTCTGCCGCGAAGTAATGAACAACTACTGGTTCCCTGAAGAACCGTACCAACCGAACCGCCACATTATCTTCACCACTTCGCTTGTTGTATCTGCCATGACGCTTTCCCTCCTCACCTGTGATTTGGGTGTCATCTTCGAGCTCTTCGGCGCAACGAGTGCGTGTGCGCTGGCCTACATTCTTCCGCCGCTCTGCTACATCAAGTTGAGCAAGCGCAGTTCCAAGACGTATGTTGCGATGGGCGTTGTTGCTTTTGGGTGCGCCGTCATGGCTATTTCTTTGATCAAAACGATGGGCAGGATGTCGAGTAGCGAGCCGTCGCAGGTGCAGTGTGGGTAGTGCTAAAGCATATCGGTGTTTGGGGTTTGCATATATATGGCGTTTGGGCGGGAATTGGGGCATTGCAAGGCGTGAGCGGACGAGCATTGGGTTTATGTATGAACTATGTAGTGGTTGTATCATACCGGCTCTGGTGTTATATCTCGAATGTTCTCGTATATTCTCGTTTACGAACAGTCACTTGAAAGTGTGCGAGAGTTTGTATTGACTATCCACACGCACTTTCCTTCTACACGTCGACTCACCACCCATCGCGACTTCCCAACCTCCAGGTCTTGGAACTGTTCAAAGCCAAGCAGCAGGCGCGCTTGCCTCCTTTGGTCTGTCGTCACTTGCCGTCTCTGCACGGAAGGATGCACGCCCTTCCCCTTCACTCTTTGCACCGTCTCAGTCACTACAGGTGCATGCTTGACCTCAGGAACGGCCTTCTCGCTTTACTGTAATAGGTCAATTAACTATTTCGTCAAACGACTGCCCGCCAGAGAAGCTCTTGCGCTGAAGGCACACGACTTGTTAGCTGTCCTCGAAAGTGCCTTCGGTCCAGCAGGGTTTCTTTTATCGTCGTTAACGACCTGAACAGGTCTTGCGACACACAGCCGGCTGGATTCACCAACCATCCCGCCTCTCAGCCTCCCCCCATGCGCCACAGCGGGGTTGCATTGCAGCCTTCTTTCGTATTGGAGAACAGCATGTCACAACGTCTGCTTCCTGCACGATTCAAATGGACATCTGGAGCTGGCCATGGCATCCTCAAATTCCGGTCCCGAGGCCAACGGATAACTTCTACACCCCGGCCAACTCCGCATTCTATGCAGACGGCCCCTATTGATTGCTGCCCTCAGTTCCATACCACATCCGCCTGCTCAACGTCACACGGGACCTGAAGACCGACACCTTCTCCTACGTGCTTACAGAAGGCATCCCCCTACTTGAAGCGGCTGGTTCCTACACCGCAAGATCGTACTGCGCCGGCGATCCCAAGAACACGCGGGAACTGGTAATCGAAGGGCGGCCGTTCAACGCGTTCGCGAATCTCGTGCATGCCATCGAGGAAACGTGTTGATACTTGAAGCGCAAGGAGGAGGTATCGCTTTGGACTGATCAGAGTACGTAATCTTATACGTATTGGTATGCGTTATTTGAGAGGTTGCTGACAAATGTGTGCGAAAAAGTTTGCATCGACCACAGCAATCGGAAAGAACGCGCGGAGCAGGTCAGCTTCATGTACGAGATCTACCACTCAGCATACAACGTAGCGGTTGGTCTGGGCACGTGGGATGTTGCGGAGTCTTACGAGGCCGATGGCGCGATCAAGTGTATCAAGCAGGTGTACGAAAACGTGGCGCATTTGGATCGATTTCTGACGTCGACACACGATGTAGACATGACTAAGACTCGCGATGGCATTCGCCGTAACGCCGCACAGTGGGACGATTGGTTTGGGAAGGACGAGGTGAACCGCAGGCTCTACATCTATCTCCACAGTGCGATAGAAGACGAGGGGTTCGCGCGTGGATGGCTCAATGTTGTGCGCATGCGGAGGATGCCTTGGTTTTCTCGAGCCTAGATAATGCAATCACACGTCCGCTCTCATGGAGAAGGCAGCATGTTCTAACGAAGTGGGCACAGGCCCATCAGGAGTACGCGGCGAACCCGAGGTAGTCTTCCTGTTCGCGCGACAGCATGTCCGCGGGGAGAAGCTCGCAGCTGTCCTCCTAGCATACCTATGGAGCGGCGACATGCCGTCGCTTGTAGAGCGAGAGCTAGCGCAGAAATATCCTATGCTCCTGCAACGCTATCCAGATCTCCAGCATTTCAACAACGATGACGACTGGCTGCGTCTTGGCTCCTACGACCAGAAAGTCTACAACACCCTTCGCATCAAGTCGTTCCACTCACAATGCCGCCGCCCACTCATAGACCTCCTCGAATACTCTCGTGTGTCCGCCGCAAGCGACAAAAAGGACCGCATCTACTCGTGTCTCGGCCTCGCAAAGCGATCCTATGGCATAAGGCCCAACTACGCACCAGAAGTCACAGCCCAGTTTCTCTTCGTCGTAGTCATGCAACACCTCCTTCTCAAGACCAAAGAAGTCAACCTCATTGAAGGCGCCAGCACTGCCAACGGCAACCACTCCCCCACGCTGCCTTCCTGGGTGCCCGACTGGAGCCAACCCGCTACGCGCGACGACGCTGGGTTCAGCTACGAATTGCAAAATGACATGCACGCCGGCGGCGACACCGAGGCGCACATCGAGTTCGTGGGCGACGGCTACGGCGTGCTCGTGACAAAAGGTGTCTTGCTGGATGCCCTCGTTGAGGAAGTGAAGCCACAGGTCTGGCGCGGCGAGCACAACGACCGCATCCACACGTTCACAAATCCGCGCGGCACGGCACCGCGGCCGGATGCGCATGTCAGCGCGCTGCCGCTGAGGATTGGGGATGAAGTGTGGATCTTGTACGGTGCGGCGCGGCCGTTTTTACTGCGCAGAGTCGAAGCCAGTGAGAACTACATTTTTCTAAGGAGTGTGTATGTTTTTGGTGTGAAAGGGTGAAAGGGAGGTGGTATATGAAGGTTCAGAGTGGGGAGTTCATGAAGTTTGGCGTTGACTTAGAGAAGGAAACAAGCAGGGTTGTTAACAAACAAAATAAACAATATTTAAAGCTGGCTTTTGCTTTATTTGACAATTTTATAGTATTATAGTTTATTTATTTATTTTTAATAGACTGTA